CATCAATGCTGAGAAACATAGTCAGTAATTGTACAACATTTCCCATAACTAGTTTCATTGCTATGATTTGTCCGATAATCGCAGCAACACGCCGCACTGGTTGATAAGAGCGCCTATTCGCTAAAATAAATGTAATAGTTTCAATCGCCTTATAAACACAGGGTGTTTGTATCTATGTGAAGACCTAGCCACTCAATAGACTGCGAAGGTAACCATAGTGATTTTTCGCATTTGGGTACAAATCTAGACTTGATCAAGTCTTCTTTTATAGCCTCGCCAGACGAACGTGTAATAAGTTCCGACTGAGCTGATAAAATACCGTCATCTAAAAAGGTGACCACTTTCTTCCCTTCAGAACGCCATTTCTTGACTAACTGGCTTGTAACCTTCGTAAACACATAAGGTGCTGAAGTTAACCCGAAAGGTAAGACTACGAACTTGAAATATTGATTAACACCCGAAGCATTTTTCCATGAAAAACCTAGGAATTCAGTATGGCCTTCAAATATGTCTATATGATGATATGCTGAATGTATATCAAATTTTCCAATCTTCATATTTGATTGACTTTTTGCTAACGTAATTGTTAACTCTGGACAGATCTAAAATCAAACGCTTTTTCCCCGACGACTGTATAGATACCAAAGGAGGGTTAACGATGGCGGTGGAGACTCACATTCAATAATTAATTGTTTCTTATACAATTCTAAAATAGCTTGGTTAACAAACTCTGCATGTCAACGCCGACCTGTTATTTCTTAACTCCATCTTTTGAGGCCTGGAAATAAAAGGAATTTTAATATCCATTGTCTATAATATCAATTATTAATTGAGACGCACCAACGTTGTACCAGAATTGAATGCTAGACTTTAATCGACCCTTCACTATAATTTCTGCTGTTCCCTGTTCATATTCATAATAATCATTAGTAAGGGCAATGTCAAAATCATCAAGCATATTGTTTTCCGAATGTACATTATGAAAACTACACTTAACTGACAAGTCTGTATCCCGCCTGAGGGGCACTGGTTGCTGTGGCGTTGACACCTGTTGTCGCCCTGGTTGTGCTGCCTGTGCGGTTGGGACATTCCCGGGTGTAGTGCGTGAACTCGCCGCAAAATTGGCACGATCCTTGTCGTGGACCTTTGACCCGAAAGGGCTGCATGATAGGAACGCTATCAACAGGAGAAGAAGCGGGCAGAGCCCATTGTACGTGCTGTGCTGAGATCGACCTGCGAGAAGCACGAGATCCATAAGGGTTCTTGCGATTTTGTTTCAATTTAAGTTTTCTGACAGCTTTTGATTCCGCTTTCTCAATTTTCTTGTCATCATCCAAATCATCTGCTAACTCATTGGAAACATAATGTTTAACGGTCTCCCAACTGCCTTCCGACGAATCTGCAATTTTTATCAGCTTATTTCTTTTCTCTAATTTTCCGATAGCTTCTTCCACACACCTTGACATTATATCATAATTCCCATTCTGAATGGCTTGTCTGGTATAAAGTAAGTCTTCTCAAACTTCCGAATTAACATTAAACTGAATTCGATTTCCTTCCCTTGACCAAGAATATTCTGTTTCAGTCTTAAACTTCTTCAAAACTTTGGCTTGCTGAATAAATTCTTCTCTTAGGTGAGAATTTTTTTCTTCCACAGCACTCTCAATATCTCTTTGATTAGTGTTTAATTTTTTTCAAAATGGCGTCAAGTTTTCCCGCTGTTGATGGATTGTCTTGAGACATATTAGAATTTGACACTTATGTTCAGTGTTACTGCCGTGCTGACAAGCGAGAGAGACGAGCTGCTTTCCACGCCCCTGATTTATACCCGTAACATAGCCGGGCTAATTACCTGCCTTAGCCATTGACTTCCACCTGTTTGAGAACACCTGGCATCATGCCTATTTGATAGCGATTTATAGACACATACTTATGATATTGCCCTCTTCATGTAACAGTTTAATGGACTCTGCTGTAAGATTTCTTAGGATTATGGAAATGTTGTTTGTCACTTTAAGTTTATAAAATATTTTTATTTAAAAAAAAAAAAAATGAAAATCGTATGTACATTCTACTTTAATGTTTCGCTTTAGTTGTATTTTTGCTGCAGTTAAGTTAATTAATAGACTGCCCCTGTGGTCTAGTGGATAGTCTGTCTGCTTGGCGGTTTGATCCCTGGCCGCGTCATACCAAAAGATGTTAAAATATGGTACTTGTTATCCTCCATGGTGCTGAGCATTAAGGAAATAAAACAAGGACTGGTCGGCAAGGAGTCGGTATAGTGTGAGTTAGGTATCCATGTTAAACAGCGACATGGTATCTCAGTGGGATAGTACTCTAAAACCGGCATTATTCCAGGCTAGTACAAGCAGCCACACACACACATACCTACACACACATGCATGCATACACATCCCAAAATAAGTGCAATACTCTTGCCCGCGAGATTAAACCTCAGTTTACCTCACCTAGTTATTGGATGTCAATATTTTCTTGTTTATAATTCTTATATTTAATTTATTTTTACTATTTTAATTATTTTGTGAGCAGCTGCACTCCTTTCTTTCCACACCAGAAGGAATCATCATGGGACAGGTAGATCCCTTACTTATTCTACAAAATAAATGTATGAAAACAGGAGTTCTTGAAGGTTTGTGGCATTGTGAAGCTATATTGAGGTTATACTCTCCCAGCTGTTGTCTAACCAAGCTGGTATACTTGTCATAAGGCGAGCCTAGATGTGGATTGGTTGGTCACTATGATTGCAGAAAAAGAACGGAACCTTGGTAGACAGCAGCTGTCTGTGACAGCATCACGAGTCTCTCAGTGGCTTTACACAATGTTAATCTATGAATATCAGCTACTATACCTGGGTCGCTGCCCACCAAGTAGATATCATGTTGTTTGTTTGTTTGTTGATTTACGCCGCACTCAGCAATATTCCAGCTATATGACGGCGGTCTGTAAATAATCGAGTCTGGACCAGACAATCCAGTGATTGATATCATGGGCATCGATCCAAGCAAATGGGATCGATGACATGCTTCAACCAAGTCAGCTAGCCTGACCACCCGATCCCTTTAGTCGCCTTTTACGACAAGCATAGTCGCCTTTTACGGCAAGCATGGGTTGCTGAAGACCTATTCACGGGTCTACCTCGTGTATCCCTTTGGGGTTTCCTCCCACATTAAGCTGCCTTCAAATACTGTAACTGAAAAACTGTTCGAAGAACCACTAATCCCAACACACTCACTCACTTCTGGATGACGTAGTGTGACACATGCTCTCACTTTATTTGTCAGCCACAGGTTTAGTTACATGTTGTGTTGGGCTGCTGATAACATGGTAAAGATCCAAACACATCTCCCACTGTCATATAGAATATACAAAGTGGAACTCTCTCACTGTGACACACCTGTCATTTGTCAGGGGATAGGGTAGCCTAGGGGTTCAAGTGTTCCCTCATTCAGCTAATGGCCCAGGTTTGATTCTCCACATGTAAACCATATGTGAATCCCACTGTTGTATCCCCTGCCTAATATTGCTGAAATATTAACAGTTGTCAATAGCTGCTGCAATAGTGTCAAGGCATCTACTAACTGGACTCCTCTATTGGCCAGGCTATCCAGCACATGATGTCGGAGACCAAGGACATGAACGCCCTCCTGCAGGAGGGGATAGAGAAGGTCATAAACTCAGAGTTCACCCCGGGAGAATGCAATACACTGGTGACCTCCATGAGACTCTGTCTGAGTCCAACAGGAACTCCACCATCCCCGGAACTCCAGACTCAGGCCATCAGACTCACCTGCAACTTCACCAAATTTGCCTTGACACAGGTATGTTATCGTGGCCACAGACTTGAAAACATGACATGCCTTTTCTTATTAGTAAAAACTGAAGTTGGGAAACAATCTCAGAGTTGTTAGGATTATATGTTCAAAATAAGTGACTATATACTACTCAGCTTTTAGGATACTTATGTATTATTCATATGTACATTACTTTGTGGCAGACAAGTGTTGAGTGGTTTGTTTATCATATTTATGGTATTAGTGATAACTAATGTATTTGTGTTGTTTTCAGAGGTGTGACATGTTTCAAGCCTTCCAATATTTCTATAGAAGTAAGTAACATTGTATAATACTGTAGCCACAGATTTCTAAGTCTAAGTTAACCTTGCTATCACTATAACTATAAAACTATAAAACTATAAAAGTAAATGGTTCCTTTCACCTTTTAGCCCATGGGCTTAAAAATGAGGATTTCTTTAATTTGTGTGTACATTGACTCAACTATTTGGTCTGGAAGGTGATAAAACCCGATTTTAGTCACTTGGCTTAGATACATGTATTCCTGGTTAGTATGTACAACATGTACATGTAAGTAAATGGTGTTTATTTGTTGTATACAGCATCATTTCTTGGCTTGAAAACATTCTAGTGTCAAGTTCATTGACAGGACAGAATCGTCTATTTAATTCAGGCACCCTAATATTCTACTGCAGTAACTCTGTGTGTGTTGTGTTACAGTCATGATTCTACTGGACATCACTGCTAGCCTTGATGGCACACTGCCTGGCCGAGCACTGTTTCTAAACGTCGACTGTGCCAATTCTGCAGCCTCCCTATGGAAGACTCTGTTTATTGCCACCCGGAAATGCAGCATAAATCAATCAGTAATATACAATACTTCACCTTACATTTTCATCACATGCTTAATTAACATTAATATATTTACGATTTAGGTTGAATAATTACCATGTTATAAAAATGATAAATGTTGTTTGGAGGTAGTAGTAAGTGCTGCTTTTCAAGATCTAGTGTTGAGTCCCTAGGCGATCCATACTCCTGGTCCCAGGTCACCCTGATTGTGATTTTCGTATCATCATCATCATCATCATCATCATCATCATCATCATCATCATCACCACCACCACCACCACCACCACCACCACCACCATCATCATCATCATCATCATTATTATTATTACTGAACAGAGCACACAAGGGCTGCTGCGGGACTTGAGAGAGTTAGCTTTCGAGTATACGAAGGAGAATCCAGCATTCTCCTACTCTCTGTGCCTCGACCTTCTCCGAGCATACACGGTCATTGGAAGAGGGTTCTCCCAAAAACAAAAGACAAGGATAAGAGGCGATCTTATTCACCTGCTGGCCAAGTGCTGCTACCAAGCGGTAAGTCACGGATATTGTGTAAGTTGGTGTTAGATCATTTAAAAAAAAATTTCTTCAGACTTATGTTTACATCCTAATATCCATAATTGTAGTCCCTCTGATGCAGCTTTTTTAGATGAAATAATCCTTTTTAGTGGATAAATTATTTAGTATTGCTGGTGGGGATGTTATGTGACGGTGCAGATGTCATACAAGTAGCTAATTTTAGGATAGATGCAAATCTTTGATAGAGTGTTTACTTTTATACTGATTACATTAATAAAATCATCTAATGTTTACTAAAGAAATGATCAAATGATTTTTCCCCATTTATTTATGTTGTTTATTATAAGATAGACATATAACTAGTAACTTGTCATGTGGTTTGCCTGTTGTAGGGGCAGTACAGACTTTGTACCAGACACTGTAAAGAGGGTAAGTTCCTATTAGTAAGTCTCTGATTTCTCAAATTGTAATTGTTTCGAATGCCAATAGAAACCGGAAGATGGAATAAAACTCAGTTGAATGAACGTTTATGCAAGTTGTGTGACAGTTTCGACATTGGAGATGAATTCCACTATATCTTCAAATGTAAATATTTCGATGAACAAAGGGACATGTACATCTCAAAACACTTTTCAAGAAGACCAAAATATGCTACAATTGCAGCAATTGTTTAACTGCCATGAGATAGCTGTCCCAGAGAAACTATGTAAATTTGTTAACATTATAATAAAGATTATAAAAACCTCCGGTTAACCTGCCATGTAAAATAGTTTGTACCTCATATGCTAGTGCACTCGGCCTAGAGAAACAAAGTGCTGTTCTGTTAATACAAATATATATTTTCTGCAACAGCTATTTATCATGTACCCTTGTAACTGATCAAGGATAATTTGTCTTTAAACGTTTTGATATACCACTAGGCCAAATCTTTTGAGGAAGAAATATGACAGTTACAAATGGCTAAAACATTCAGATTTTATATTAGACATCAAATAATTTGTTGGTAATGCTGAAAGACAGAGACAGAGACATATGTACTTGTATGGTATATTAAATAAGATAAGCATGTCTATTATTAGTTGTCGCATTCGCTCGTCACGCCGAAGACCCGGGTTCGATTCCCCACATTGTTACAATGTCGAAGCCCATTTCTGGTGTCTCCCGCTGTGATATTGCTGGAATATTGCTAAATGCAGCGTAAAACCATACTCAATCGCTCATGTTTTAAGTGTGCAAAAATGTCTCCTTAAAAAGAAAAGGATATTGACTAATAATAAAACCAAGTTTAAGGAGGCTATTCTTCATATGTGTACCAGACAGCTTGTTACTGAGACTCCCCAGTCTCTATTCATAGGGAGAGGGGAAACATAAGTGTTGGTGGAACTAGAATCAGAGCCACCATTGTGTGACATACCAATGCAGTGGTATGCTGGTTGTATCGGTGTATGTCATGTCACAGTGTGGGAGGGGGATATAGGTTTGGGCTCTGTCCGTCCTGTCTGTGTCCGCTGCTACCAGCCTGCGAGCTGTGTCACATCCCTATGTAATCTAATGCAGGTTATATCATGTTTATTCCACCTGTGTCCTCTGTTTCCAGCCTGCGAGCTGTGTCCCATCCCCATGTAATGTAATGCAGGTTATATCATGTTTGTTCCACCTGTGTCCTCTGTTTCCAGCCTGCGAGCTGTGTCACATCCCTTTGTAATGTAATGAGGGTTATATCATGTTTATTCCACCTGTGTCCTCTGTTTCCAGCCTGCGAGCTGTGTCGCATCCCTATGTAATCTAATGCAGGTTATATCATGTTTATTCCACCTGTGTCCTCTGTTTCCAGCCTGCGAGCTGTGTCACATCCCCATGTAATGTAATGCAGGTTATATCATGTTTGTTCCACCTGTGTCCTCTGTTTCCAGCCTGCGAGCTGTGTCACATCCCTGTGTAATGTAATGCAGGTTATATCATGTTTATTCCACCTGTGTCCTCTGTTTCCAGCCTGCGAGCTCTTTGACTGCGGCAGCTACATTCCCTACGAGCTCTGGGCACGAGCTCTTCACAAGAACGGACAATACAGAGCGGCACTCGACAAAGTGGATTGGGCTAAAAACTGTATTCAGGTATGGTTACATCATAAGTTAGGTATAACAAATTATAGTCTTGGTTCTAAGGCACTGTTCGCATTATCATGAAGTCTGCCGCATGTTTCATTTATATTTCTAATCTTAAAAGAACAATAAAACATTCTTAACTATTCCGTATTAAGAACGCACGACCCCAGCAGTGAAATGCTACAATACTTAAAAACAAGTTACTCCAATATAGCGTGCAGTTACTGCCCTTTACATGCTGTTTATGTGTTACATACAAGTTTGAACAACAACAAAAAACACTGCACGTCTGCACTATATTTTCAAAAGCCATTGCCTGAGAGCCAGTTCTTTTATTTTTTTAAGCCTTACTCAGATATGTTCCAAATTTAAAAGAGATATTCGGTGTAAAGGTGAAAGTGACTTATTGCTTGGGGATGTTGTCATAAGAATATATGGGAAATTGACATTGTGACTCAGGTTCATTTCAAGTTTGTGTGACTATAAGTACTTCTAGGTTGTTGTTGTAGTTCTATGACAGATATCGCAATTTCCTACTGAAGTTATGTTTTTATAGATTCAAACTACATATGAATGACTGATGTTTGAGTGAGTGAGTGAGTGAGTGGGCCAGTTGGGCTTAGCACATTGAACAGTATTGCAGTTATGTCATGATATGTCGTCTTTATATTTGAGGGAAACCTATTAGTTCGGGTATGGGGAAGACAAACTTATAAACATTATCTGGGATTCGAACCCATGACCATAGTGTTCTGGCACACCAAACGGACAGAACTTTGCACAGTGAATTACAGGGCCTTAGACAACTTGGTCAACCATGTGTCTTACTGAGGTTTTAAAAAATTATTTTGGCGCCGCACATACAAATGTTTTTTGAGGTTAGTTTAGATTTTCTGGATGTTCTCTAATATATGGAGGTTCTGCTCATGTTTAATCTGAAGGTTTTTCTTTAAGAGACTAATGCATGTTAACATTTATTTAGGAGGAGAAAATAAAACAGTATCTTCAGAAGTACATGGACCAGCTGCACCAGGAGATGTTCACCTCTACGCAGCAGCCGACGATGGAGACAGATGCTGATTTGTTGACGGGGACCAACATCAGAACCACACAGGTAATCGATATTCAACGTCACATTTTACGTAATTATCTGATTGTATTCATGTCTGTTTACAAACATGTTTACATGTTAATGAATGTGTATCACTTAGCACAATTCTGGCTATTTGACGACAGTCTCTAAATACTCAATCAAGTGATGAGATGATAAACACATGAATTAATTCGTAATCCTGACCTGGATGATGCTCAAGTTATTGACCTCATCTTCTTGTGGCAAATAAGAATAGTAATTCTGTTTTTGTTTGGCAATAATGAATGTAGTATACTGGATATATACCATTCAACTATTGATAAGGATATTGCTTGATACATCAAACTGATTGCTTATATATATTTGTCAATGTTCATGTTCTCCCTCCTTTTAAATGCCTAACAAAGACTGTATTTGTTAGTGGTATGAAGGATCTCAATATCCTTATTAAACGTTGAGTAGCATTGCTACAATAGTATGACCAGCTGAGCCATTAACTGATGAACTGGTGTCAGTCCACCTGATGTCCCTCCTCTGTCAGTCAATACTACATCATCCATACTCCGTGTTTCACACTATTGTCGGTAATCCTTGTGGTCATGTTGAAACTGCTTTGCAGTATTTCATGTTATAGAAACAGTAAGTTTCTTGACAGGTTAAGCTGATGTTTTAACTATTATAAGCATAGGAACGACTTTATTTGAAAAAGAGGGTTGCATTTTGTGTGTTTTTTATTTTAAATTTTTTTTTTTATTCAATTCAGTATATGACATTACAGAGTTATACATGGAGTAGCACGCATTTTGTGATTTTGATAATTTGCATTCAGTAACCATGTAAGTTTGTTCAAAAGATGTCAACATATGTGTTAGTCAGTCAGTTATATGTTTACTCATAGTACCGTATTTCCTCGGTTAAACTCCAAGCTTGATTAAAGGGCAGGCCTTGTTTAAAGGCTGGGTATTTTTTGGCATGAATTCTCCCCATTATAATCTCTGAGTAATGATTGAAAGCTATACTTTTACTCCTTGACAGAATCACGTGGAAATTCAATGTCTAGAGCTGACAGATTCTTCTTTTGTTCCAGAGAAGTGTACAGTACCGATGATGGGTCTGGGTGAATCTTTAGTTGGATATTAAAATGATAAACATCGGTCCCAGAATAGATGGCAGGCCTTGATTAAGAGCAGGGGTAAGGAGTGTCTGACAGAAATATATGATTGGGCATTTAATGGAGGAAATATGGGATACCTGCTCACCTATGATGTGTCTGCATGTGTCTGCACCCCCTGTGGATCTGCGAAGTCATTATTGTTGTCACATGACCAGAACCTACTTGTGTTACAGTTGCAGCAAGCACGGGCGCAACAGGCAAAGAATGCTCACGTCAAGAAGAAAAGGCAATCCAGACGTAAGTTTAAAACTGTTTTGTGATCTAAATATGTACTGAAACTTTAGAGTCATACTGTTATCCTTGTATCTTCTATGTATTTTATGACCTGTCAAGGAAGACACATGGACCATATAATCTGTCAATAAGATATTGTCACAATGAAGATAGATTTATATCTATACGACAAACAAAAAGTTAAGGACCACCCAATTCTTTCAAATAACTATAGTTAATCTGTGATGTCATTACAGGTTAGTTATAGTTATATGAATGAGTCCTTAACTCTGTTTAAATAGTATAGTTATGGACTCTCTATGGACCCATGTGAGATTCTGTTGAATAATATTTGTATTGCCCATGCTTATTGTAAGATGTTTCTGGAATGGGGCCCACTTTTGCAAAGTCATAGCAACATGACAATCACAAATATATGTAGAAGTGTATGAATTATGACAGTAGTAGGAGCCAACCATAATAAGTATTTAGTGTTTACAACGTAATTCCTGTCTGATAGTGAGCCATCTGAACTGAACTCAGTGATTATTGCTCATGTTATCAACCCCATATCTGCCTTCCCCAGACTTAATTATCTGCTTGCCATCAGAAGACTTTGGTGTATGCTAAGACTAAAAATGATGCTGCTGGTAAAATTTGATGTAGGACTAAGAAATAAGTAATAGGCTGATTGATATATCTGTAGTATTGCAGACTAGAACAAGATTTGCTCCTGGTTCACAAACAACTCTCCGCTTCTTGTTTTAACAGCAAGACGAGAACACGTGGAACCCATCCAGGTTAGTCACACTGACTGGCTCAAAGGTGGAGCAATGCAGAAGGGTGAACCAGGATACCGAACGTCTAATGGCTTGTCACTTCCTTTTGCTGGACAAGCAGGCAAGGACCCCTCACAGCTCAATGTTGACAGCAACCCTCTTCTGCAGTACACAGCCTGGGACACATCGAGTGGGGATGATGGATCGGATCTTGAGGATGCTTTCGAGCTTCGAGGATCACCCTCTTCTCAACATGAAGAGAAAGAGCCAGAGGTGACCAAAGTCAAGGCTGAAAAGTCGGACAAGACATGGTTTGAAGAAAGTAAGGAAATGTATGACAATGGTGATGTGGACACAAAGATTACTTGTGGCATGGGGATGGATGTGGAGACTGAGAGCATCGAGGCCAAGCAACAGAGCAGGGCTCCTTTCTATAGGCCGCTGGAACCCGACTTTGAGTTGAGACGACTCATGGCAGCCATGCCTGAGAAGTACAAGCAGTGTAAGATACGGTTTGAGTCATCTCACAAGGCTGTGTGTAAAGTGTTGTCAGGAGGGGAAACCTACAATGATATTGAGATTCACGGGAGGTCCAAGTTTGGCCAGACGTTCAATAATGATGAGGTTTGTGTGGAGGTTCTGTCAGAGCCTCACTCCCATCCTGCGTCTGGTCATGTGACTGAGGAAGATGACAAGGCGTATGGACGTGTTGTTGGTGTCCTTAAAAGCAACTTCAGGGAAGAGAGCCATACAGTCATGGCCTGTACGTGTGATGATGATGAAGGGTTTCTCATGCATCCCCTTTGCAAAACTGTGCCAAAGATTCATGCCTTGAATGGTGTTACAAAGAAGAAATACCCTTCCTTGTCCAAATACAGGATTGATACATATGAAATCAATGAGAGTGGACTCCGATACAAGAAATATTTTGATGTGAAACCAGGACTTAGAGGAAGGTATGTGTTCCTGGTCGTCTATCTCACCTGGGGCATCCACTATGTGTACCCTCTTGGAGCAGTGGTAGACATCATTGAGTGTGGCACCGACTTCAATGGAGGTCTCAAGATCCTGGAAATGCAATATCAGGTTCCAACCTACTTTTCTCAAGACACAGTTGCTCATATTGGTAAAATTCTGAAGAAGAGAGACACTGTTCTTGCTGACGGCAGAGTTGACTGCACAGGGCTTGAAGTTTTCACAATAGATTCTGCATATTCAAAAGATTTAGATGATGCTTTGAGTATCTCTGCCAAGGATGACCACTATCTGATTGGAGTCCACATTGCTGACGTGGCCTCAGTGGTGAAGAAAGGGGACCCTGTTGACAGTGAGGCACAGAAGAGAGCCACAAGCTTCTATCCATGCGAGTCCAGGACTCACAACATGTTGCCTGAACCATTGAGTGAGGGCATGTGTAGTCTGCTACCAAATGAAGAAAGACTTGCATTGTCCATTTTCTTTCACATTGAAAAATCAGGAAAGCTTGTAAAGGAACCAACAGTCATGAAAACAAAGATTAAATCTTCCTGCAAGTTGTCATATGAAGATGCTCAGAAAGTTATTGAAAATGAGGAAGTGGATCATGTTTCACAAACTCTGAAAGACAATATCAAACTGCTTCATGAAATTGCCCAGAACTTGAGAAAGGACAGACTTAAAGATTCTAGGTTTGCTGTTCCATTTGAAGATCCAAGATTTATTGAGACTGAAATCATAGAGCAGAATATTGAAGCCCATGCACTCATTGAAGAGTTCATGATCAAAGCCAATACATCCATTGCTCAGTGGTTGAGAAAGAAGTTCCCAAATTCCATCCCCATCAGATGTCAGTCTCCACCATCTATTGAGGATATCCAAAAATTTGTCCAGAATGAGGATAAGTTCCTGGACCTTGTTGTGAACCTGCAGGGACGAGAAGTCTTACCTGGCAGGACGGTGGCATCAGGAAACTGGGTAGCCAAGGGCAACACAGTGAGAAAAGAGCCTTTGCCAGTCCAGAAGAACATCTGGCTTCAGATTCTTGATGGGGTTCATGATGAAACCCTGACTAAAGCTGTAAGGAATATGTGCAAAGATGAGGTCCACCCTTTCCAAACAATTGCTCTTCAACACTGGCGACATATGGAATCTGCAGAATACAAATGTTCAATGCTCTCTGAAAAAGAGCTGGATCACTTCTCTCTGAATACAAAGATATATACACATTTCACATCCCCTATCCGGAGATATGTGGACCTTATTGTACACAGACTGGTGCATGCAGCTCTTGATGGGAAATCCTGTCCCTACTCATCATCAGAAATAGCTGACATTTGTGCCTATATCAATGATGCCACTTCCAGACAGAAACACTTCAGCAATGGGTGCCAGGCTTTGAAGAGAGCTGCAAAGATTTCGCAGAGGCCAATGGTATTTAATGCTGTGGTGGACAAGGTCTCGGACAGTGGAGCAGAGCTCTGTATCCCCTCTTTGAAGCATTTGTCCAGCAGAAGCAAGGAATTACCCTTCAACTTGATGGACTTCAGTAAGAAACCAGAGGAGAAACAAGATCCTTGGTCAACAAAGACAATCGTTACAGGAAAATGGAAGAAAAGGCTGTATGACTGTACTGGATGTCCAAGCCAGCTGATGTATTCAAAGATGCTGGAAAAGCAGCAAGGATTCAAACAGAAGCAACGGCCAAAACAAGTCGTGTCTATTGTGAATCCTAATCAGCATGTGTACTTTGTGGACACACAGACCTGGGCAAAGATGTTGAATGCATTGTTCAGCCAGGACCACAAAGCATTGAAGAAAATGGTCAACAGTCAACCCAGAGAAGGACAAGATTTGCCCACTGGAGCACCAGTGAGGGACATGGTCACCTCAGAGCATGGAGATGGTTCCATCAAGTTCCACCACTGCAAGTTTACTCTCTGCTTTACACCCGGACGTGTCATCAAAGTTCAGATGGTTGCTAATCCAGAGAAGGGTTTACTCACTCCACAAGTGAGATTGTTTCAGGTTTGCAAGAACCTCAGTCTGTGTCTCAGTCACATGGAAGATCCAGTTGGTGTGTTGAGTAAGTATGCTACAGAATCGACCAAAAAGAACATTGAGTCAATATCTGAGTATCAGAGAACATGGCTGCCTCTTCTGGAAATGGAATCTGCGACATCTGCAGTTCGTAGTGAAGAGAACATCATCATCAACAATGTCAACATCGAATTCAAACGCAACCAAGGTAAAACAAAAACCTTCTACAAAGGGACATTCACTTTTCCATCTAGTTTTGTGCATGAAAGGTGCATTGAGTTTGGAGGCAAACCTTTGGAGAAGTTGAAAGAAGAGGGAGACGACGATGATGATGAAAGGGACAACTTTGGGCGAAGGGAGTTCTCCTCAATTGACTATCTCTGCATACGAATCAAGATTGACCAAAATAGACCTGAGTCACGGGAAACCTATGATGAGGAGATCTCAAACAAGGTCATTGAAGTCCCTTGCCCACTGACAAAAGAAGGAAGGCAAACGAAATCCTCAAAGAGGAGTAAGTCATCAGAAAGGAGGAGGTCTAGGAGGAAAGCAGAGGCTGTTGAGTGTGCCTTGAAGAAGAGGAAGGTGTCTGAAGGATGTGGAGCTGATGTCTGTTCACAGGCAGACACCTACACGTGGGTCGGTCATGCTCAGATCATGAAAGTGAGGAGAAAGAAAGACAAGGACATGGAATCAGATTATGTGACGGTCACATTCAGCTTAAATGCCAACAGTGGTCCTGTGCCAGACGAACTCTATCCCAAGAGTACAGGCACTGTAGAGGTCATCTTCAAGTCAGAAGTTGACAGGTAAGAATATGATTGTGTTGTTCTGATTTGTAACAGTAACTAGTTTTCACAATAAATTATTTCAGTATCTGACTTTTTCAGGAGTGTCCTTTGGGTGTATGAGTGAGTGATTATTGCTTTACTCTGCCTCAGCAATCTTCTCAGTTCACAGCATGTTAAGGTATATATGACCAAGTGACACCAAGTGACATGCACACAGCATGTTAAGGTATATGACCAAGTGACTGTAATGGTCAGTAATAATGTTAACTCTGTTTCAGACGTACAATGAGAATGATACAAAGCTTGAGTGGAGACAAGTTAGATTTAGCAAGCTGTGTTGCATTGCACAGGAGGCCTCCTAAACTGGGTGAGTAAATATTAAACATAAATATTTTCTTTTAAAAAACAGAAGAAAACTATTACAATTGGTATATCACAGATACAACTGTCCTTGATGGTAACCAGTAACCCATTAGCTATCAGGCTCCAGCTGCTTTTGCAACCAATCGTAATGCATATGTAACTCTTATCACTACAGACAAGGACAGACTGGACTATGGCAAGAAGATGGAGAAAGAGGTCCCAGTCCAGGGTCTGCCTCTCAATAACACCAAGCAGCACGAGGCCATAGACCGGGCCCTCAGTTCCAGCTTCACCCTCATCCAGGGGCCACCAGGTAGGCGGCTTTGTCTCACATCCTTACGCTGTCTCACTTACTTATGCTGTCTGGTCTCAATTCTTGTCTGGTCTCACTCTCTGCCTGGTCTCACTTGCTGTCTTGTCTTACTTGCTGTCTGGTCTCACTTGCTGTCTTGTCTCACTTGCTGTCTGGTCTCACTTGCTGTCATTGTCTCACTTGCTGTCATTGTCTCACTTTCTGTCTTGGCTCACTTGCTGTCTGGTCTCACGTCCTGTTATTGCCTCACTTGCTTTATGGTCTCACATCCTTACGTTGTCTCACATGCTGTTATTGTCTCACTTGCTGTCTTGTCTCACTTTCTGTCTTGGCTCACTTGCTGTCTGGTCTCACTTGCTGTCTGGTCTCACTTGCTGTCATTGTCTCACTTTCTGTCTTGGCTCACTTGCTGTCTGGTCTCACGTCCTGTTATTGCCTCACTTGCTTTATGGTCTCACATCCTTACGTTGTCTCACATGCTGTTATTGTCTCACTTGCTGTCTGGTCTCACTTGCTGTCTTGGCTCACTTGCTGTCTGGTCTCACTTTCTGTCTTGGCTCACTTGCTGTCTCACTTGCTGTCTTGTCTCACTTGCTGTCTGTTCTCACTTGCTGTCTTGTTTCACTTGCTGTCTGGTCTCACTTGCTGTCTGATCTCACTTGCTGTCTGTCTCACTTGCTGTCTGGTCTCACTTGCTGTCTGGTCTCACTTGCTGTCTGGTCTCACGTCCTGTTATTGTCTCACTTGCTGTCTGGTCTCACTTGCTGTCTTGTCTCACTTGCTGTCTGGTCTCACTTGCTGTCTGGTCTCGCGTCCTGTTATTGTCTCACTTGTCGTCTGGTCTCACTTGCTGTCTGGTCTCACTTGCTGTCTGGTCTCACCTGCTGTCTGGTCTCACTTGTCGTCTGGTCTCACTTTCTGTCTTGGCTCACTTGCTGTCTCACTTTCTGTCTTTTCTCACTTGCTGTCTGTTCTCACTTGCTGTCTGGACTTACTTGCTGTCTCACTTGCTGTCTTGTCTCACTTGCTGTCTGGTCTCACTTGCTGTCTGGTCTCACTTTCTGTCTTGTCTCACTTCCTGTCTTGTCTCACTTGCTGTCTTGTCTCACTTGCTGTCTCACTTGCTGTCTGGTCTCACTTGCTGTCTGGTCCCACCTGCTGTCTGGTCTCACTTGCTGTCTGGTCTCACCTGCTGTCGGGTCTCACCTGCTGTCTGGTCTCACTTGCTGTCTTGTCTCACTTGCTGTCTGGTCTCAACTGCTGTCTGGTCTCACTTGCTGTCTGGTCTCACTTGCTGTCTTGGCTCACTTGCTGTCTTGTCTCACTTGCTGTCTGGTCTCACTTGCTGTCTGGTCTCACTTGCTGTCTGGTCTCACTTCCTGTCTTGTCTCACTTGCTGTCTCACTTGCTGTCTGGTCTCACTTGCTGTCTGGTCTCACCTGCTGTCTGGTCTCACTTGCTGTCTGGTCTCACCTGCTGTCTGGTCTCACTTGCTGTCTGGTCTCACTTCCTGTTATTGTCTCACTTGCTGTCATGTCTCACTTGCTGTCTGGTCTCACGTCCTGTTATTGTCTCTTTTGCTGTCTGGTCTCACTTGCCGTCTGGTCTGACTTGCTGTCTGGTCTCACTTGCTGTCTTGTCTCACTTGCTGTCTGGTCTCACTTTCTGTCTTGTCTCACTTCCTGTCTTGTCTCACTTGCTGTCTCACTTGCTGTATGGTCTCACTTGCTGTCTGGTCTCACTTGCTGTCTGGTCTCACATGCTGTTATTGTCTCACTTGCTGTCTGGTCTCACTTGCTGTCTGGTCTCACGTCCTGTTATTGTCTCACTTGCTGTCTGGTCTCACTTGCTGTCTTGTCTCACTTGCTGTCTGGTCTCACTTGCTGTCTGGTCTCACGTCCTGTTAATGTCTCACTTGTTGTCTGGTCTCACTTGCTGTCTTGTCTCACTTGCTGTCTGTTTTCACTTGCTGTCTTGTCTCACTTGCTGTCTGGTCTCACTTCCTGTTATTGTCTCACTTGCTGTCTGGTCTCACTTGCTGTCTGGTCTCACGTCCTGTTATTGTCTCTTTTGCTGTCTGGTCTCACTTGCTGTTATTGTTATTGTCTCACTTGCTGTCTCCCTTGCTGTCTTTTTTCACTTGCTGTCTGGTCTCACTTGCTGTCTGGTCTCACGTCCTGTTATTGTCTCACTTGTCGTCTGGTCTCACTTGCTGTCTTGTCTCACTTGCTGTCTGGTCTAACTTCCTGTTATTGTCTCACTTGCTGTCTGGACTCACTTGCTGTCTCACTTGCTGTCTTGTCTCACTTGCTGTCTGGTCTAACTTGCTGTCTGGTCTCACTTGCTGTCTGGTCTCACTTTTTGTCTTGTCTCACTTCCTGTCTTGTCTCACTTGCTGTCTCACTTGCTGTCTGGTCTCACTTGCTGTCTGGTCTCACCTGCTGTCTTGTCTCACTTGCTGTCTGGTCTCACCTGCTGTCTTGTCTCACTTGCTGTCTGGTCTCACTTGCTGTCTTGTCTCACTTGCTGTCTGGTCTCACTTCCTGTTATTGTCTCACTTGCTGTCTGGTCTCACGTCCTGTTATTGTCTCTTTTGCTGTCTGGTCTCACTTGCCGTCTGGTCTCACTTGCTGTCTGGTCTCACTTGCTGTCTTGTCTCACTTGCTGTCTGGTCTCACTTTCTGTCTTGTCTCACTTCCTGTCTTGTCTCACTTGCTGTCTTGTCTCACTTGCTGTCTGGTCTCACTTGCTGTCTGGTCTCACCTGCTGTCTGGTCTCACTTGCTGTCTGGTCTCACCTGCTGTCTGGTCTCACGTCCTGTTATTGTCTCACTTGCCGTCTGGTCTCACTTGCTGTCTGGTCTCACGTCCTGTTATTGTCTCACTTGTCGTCTGGTCTCACTTGCTGTCTTGTCTCACTTGCTGTCTGGTCTCACGTCCTGTTATTGTCTCACTTGCCGTCTGGTCTCACTTGCTGTCTGGTCTCACGTCCTGTTATTGTCTCACTTGTCGTCTGGTCTCACTTGCTGTCTTGTCTCACTTGCTGTCTTGTCTCACTTGCTATCTTGTCTCACTTGCTGTCTGGTCTCACTTCCTGTAATGTCTCACTTGCTGTCTGGACTCACTTGCTGTCTCACTTGCTGTCTTGTCTCACTTGCTGTCTGGTCTCACTTGCTGTCTGGTCTCAGGTCCTGTTATTGTCTCTTTTGCTGTCTGGTCTCACTTGCCGTCTGGTCTCACTTGCTGTCTGGTCTCACTTGCTGTCTTGTCTCACTTGCTGTCTGGTCTCACTTTCTGTCTTGTCTCACTTCCTGTCTTGTCTCACTTGCTGTCTTGTCTCACTTGCTGTCTCACTTGCTGTCTGGTCTCACTTGCTGTCTGGTCTCACCTGCTGTCTGGTCTCACTTGCTGTCTGGTCTCACCTGCTGTCTTGTCTCACTTGCTGTCTGGTCTCACCTGCTGTCTGGTCTCACGTCCTGTTGTTATCTCTTTTTCTGTCTGGTCTCACTTGCTGTCTGGTCTCACTTGCTGTCTTGTCTCACTTGCTGTCTCGTCTCACGTCCTGTTATTGTCTCACTTGCCGTCTGGTCTCACTTGCTGTCTGGTCTCACTTGCTCTCTTGTCTCACTTGCTGTCTGGTCTCACTTCCTGTCTGGTCTCACTTCCTGACATTGCATCATTTGCTGTCATGTTTTCATTATTTGTCACTTCTGTCTTTGTCTCAATCTGCCACCGGATTCTGAGATATTTTTTATATCAGCACATTATATTAAAAAGCAGATCATACCATTGGATTTCTCCAATCATGCGTTGCTATATATCCTGCAGGTACAGGTAAGACATACACTGGGATCAAGCTGGTGTACCTCTTCAACAAGATCAACAAGTTCCTTCACCTGGAGGGTGTAGACGACCAGAAGAAACAGGTGCTTTTCTGTGGGCCGTCCAACAAAGCTGTGGATCTTGTAGCATGTAAGTCAGAATGTTAAAAATATATTTATTGTTTCTTAATGAGACTGACTCTTTAATGGAAGGTGAAATGCTGGTATTACATTTAATAAAGCATTGGGAGAAGTTTGCACTGAGTTAATGCTTTTGATGTTGGGTAATATCAGTTGTCAATGCAAGAGAATAACCAGCCTAGATTATCTGCCGAAAACAGATTCCGTTTGGCATTAAGGGCACAAAAGCTGTGAAAATTATATGAATGGACCACTGAAAATCAGGTGTATGCTTGCCAGTTTTCCATCTGAAAACAAATATCAAATTTTCATGTTTGGCTTCATGATTTTGAAACTCTTCATGACTTGATAGTAAATCTTGAACACATGTTATGATCTATAGTCGTACAATTCTACAGTTGACTCTGCTTTTAAGTAGAGATTTCTTATGACAATGGAAATGTTTGTTGTTTCTTTGTTGATATCTTGTTTAACAGTGCAAATAGTATTTTATTGAAACATTTATTCCTAGTTCTGCTGTTATGTCGACTTGGAGATGCTTGTCCCAACATCATCCGCCTCTACGGCAGCAACATCGTGGCTCAGGACTACCCTGTGCCCAAACGCAACTTCATGTCCAAGAGGAGCATGCGAGGCCTGCGATCTGACCCCAGACTCTTCGATGTGTCTCTCCACCACATGATACGACAGTCAGGCAAACCTCATGCCGAGGAAATAAGGATGTATGATGTATTGTTCAAGACCAATCCAGAAGCCGTCACTCCGGGCCACATCAAGAAGTATGGGAAGCTGGTGTACATGGCCTCATGTGAAGAACTCAAGAAGTGCGATGTGATCCTCTGTACCTGCCCAGTCGGTGGGAATAGGAAGGTGGTCCAGTCAACACGCATCTTCCAGCTCATCATCGATGAGAGTGCCATGAGTCCAGAACCACAAAGCATGATTCCTATCATTGCCACCAAGGCCAAGCAGGTTGTCCTGATAGGAGATCACAAGCAGCTGCGGCCAATTGTTCAGTGCAAGCAGGCTGCAGAATTGGGGCTGGATCAGTCGCTGTTTGAGAGGTTTGCTACTGAGGCTACATTCCTCAACACTCAGTACAGGATGGTAAGTTGTCATTTTACCTGTGTGAGTCAGAAATGGTTAAATCTACGCTGCAGTGAACAATATTCCAGTTGCATCATGGCAACAATTGAATAACTTATTTTATTGTAGCCAATACCCCACTCAGACACAGTATACTGACTACGAGACGACCAGTCCTTGTTTAGCCCCTAAATGCCGAGCGCCAGACAGGGTAACAACAAGTACCATCTTTTAACGTCTTTTGGTATGACTCGGCCGGGGATCGAACCCCGGAACTTCCGCTCTCCGGGTGGACGCTCTACCACTAGACCACGGGGGCGGTCTCATAAAAAGATGTGTGTCAACTATGTCTGGTACATGTCATGACTTGTCAGGTTGTAGAGGTTTGTGAAACTCACAACCATAAATGATGCCTGTACATCAATTTACATCGGAAATTTAAACCAATGACCAGCACATCCTGAAATAAGGCTTAAAAAAATAAAAGACTTGCTTCTTCGGCAATGGCTATTGAAATCATACTGCGGGCAGGCGGTGCTTTTGGGTTTTTTTCTTAGTTATTCAACTTTAATGTAACCAAATAGACAGTTGTGTAACCAAATACAATTAACTGGGAAAGGGCCTCCCTACATAGATGTATTCCTTAATGAGTATATTACTGGAATTCAGTATTTGACCACTGTTAGACTTGGAATATTTAAGGATTTTTTTGTTTAAAAAAAAAAAAAAATGGAAATAAAAACTAAACGTGCGGTGAATGTTTTAATGCAGGCGGTGCCTGAGAACCAAGACTATTATATTTTTGTGTCCTATTAAGAAATGGAACTTAGCAAATATAGTGCTGGACCCTTATAGTTTGACCACAGAATCATCTGGCCTACCCTTTTTGAACCTGAAACAGTCATAATTCATATATATTTAACCAAAGAATGTCATATTGTCCACATGCCCTCAAGGAGTGTTTGTTTTGTTACAGCACCCTCGCCTCTGTGACTTCCCATCAGAAGAGTTCTACGATGGTAAACTTACCACAGGTCCATCTTGGACATGGAAGTGTGAGCCCCTGGCCGTGTGGCCGGTGCCGGAGGTTCCCCATGTCCTGTGCCATGTGGAGGGGGTGGAGGACAGCCTCAGTGTGTCCACAGAGGAGGGCAATGAACAGTCCAAGTCCAACAAGGCAGAGGTGGACAAAGTGGTCAGTACAATAATTTCATAGACAAAACTAACGACAAAAAAGTGGTCAGTGCTCTGACTTAATAATTACATAATTACTTTTTACTTACTATTTAGATAATGTACACTTAAGCCAAAGAAAGTGGTCTGTGAATTACTTACTATTTATATACATGTAAACTTAAGACAAAGAAAATGTTCAGTGCATTACTTACTATTTATAATCTTAAGACAAAGAAAGTGGTCTGTGAATTACTTACTATTTAAATAATGTAAACTTAAGACAAAGAAAGTGTTCAGTACATTACTTACTGTTTATATACTTAAAACAAAGAAAGTGGTCAGTGCATTACTTTCTATTTATATACATGTAAACTTAAGACAAAGAAAATGTTCAGTGCATTACTTACTATTCATAAACTTAAGACAAAGAAAGTGGTCAGTGCATTACTTACTATTCATAAACTTAAGACAAAGAAAGTGGTCAGTGCTCTGACCTAATAATTACATATATGTGTAAACTAAGAACGTAGGAAGTGGTCTGTGAATTACTTACTATTTACTTAACCCTTTGCCTTGGTTGTTCAGGTTGAGGTGTTCAGCTGGCTGGTTCAGAAGGGTGGAATCTCCCCTCGCTACATCAACATCATGTCGCAGTACAACGCCCAGTGTACCAAGATACGCGAGGCTCTGTCCAAGTACCACCATCAGAGTCTCAACGTCAACACTGTTGTGGCCAGCCAAGGTAAATACTGGGGCTGGGGCTAGTCCAAACTTACTACCCATGTACCCCACCCCCAAGTATCCGACACTACCTGGGTACCCTACCCCCTAGTACCCGACACTACCCGGGTACCCTACCCCCTAGTACCTGACCCTACCTGTGTACCCTACCCGTGTACCCTACCCCTAGTACCTGACCCTACCTCTGTACCCTACCCCTACTACCTGACCCTACCCGTGTACCCTACCCCTAGTTCCTGACCCTACCCGTGTACCCTACCCCTACTACCTGACCCTACCCGTGTACCCTACCCCCTAGTACCTGACCCTACCCGTGTATCCTACCCCTACTACCTGACCCTACCCGTGTACCCTACCCCTAGCACCTGACCCTACCTCTGTACCCTACCCCCTAGTACCTGACCCTACCTGTATACCCTTCCCCCTAGTACCTGACGCTACCCGTGCATCCTACCCCCTAGTACCTGACCCTACCTGTGTACCCTACCCCCTAGTACCCGACCCTACCTGTGTACCCTACCCCTAGTACCTGACCCTACCCGTGTACCCTACCCCCTAGTACCCGACACTCCCCGGGAACCCTACCCCCTAGTACCTGACCCTACCCGTGTACTCTACCCCCTAGTACCTGACCCTACCCATGTACCCTACCCCCTCGTACCCGACCCTACCCGGGTACCCTACCCCCTAGTACCTGACCCTACCCGTGTACCCTACCCCCTAGTACCTGAGAGTACCCGGGTACCCTTCCCCCTAGTACCTGACACTACCCGTGTACCCTACCCCCTAGCACCTGACACTACCTGTGTACCCTACCCCCTACTACCTGACACTACCTGTGTACCCTACCCCCTAGTACCCGACACTACCCGGGTACATTACCCCCTTGTACCTGACCCTACCCGGGTACCCTACCCCCTAGTACCTGACCCTACCCCTGTACACTACCCCCTAGTACCCGACACTACCCAGGTACCCTACCCCCTAGTACCCGACACTACCCAGGTACCCTACCCCCTAGTACCTGACCCTACCCGTGTACACTACCCTCTAGTACCCGACACTACCCAGGTACCCTACCCCCTAGTACCTGACACTACCCAGGTACCCTACCCCCTAGTACCTGACCCTACCCGTGTACACTACCCCCTAGTACCCGACACTACCAGGGTACCTTACCCCCTAGTACCTGACCCTACCTCTGTACCCTTCCCCTAGTACCTGAACCTACCCGGGTACACTACCCCCAGTACCCGACACTACTTGGGCACCTTACCCCCTAGTACCTGACCCTGCCTGTGTACCCTACCCCTAGTACCTGACCCTACCTGTGTACCCTACCCCTAGTACCTGACCCTACCCGTGTACCCTACCCCCTAGTACCTGACCCTACCTGTGTACCCTACCCCTACTACCTGACCCTACCTGTGTACCCTACCCCTAGTACCTGACCCTACCTGTGTACCCTACCCCTAGTACCTGACCCTACCTGTGTACCCTACCCCTACTACCTGACCCTACCTGTGTACCCTACCCCTAATACCTGACCCTACCTGTGTACCCTACCCCCTAGTACCTGACCCTACATGTGTACCCTACCCCCTAGTACCTGACCCTACCTGTGTACCCTACCCCTAGTACCTGACCCTACCTGTGTACCCAACCCCTAGTACCTGACCCTACCTGTGTACCCTACCCCTAGTACCTGACCCTACCTCTGTACCCTACCCCTAGTACCTGACCCTACCTGTGTACCCTACCCCCTACCCCCTAGTACCTGACCCTACCTGTGTACCCTACCCCTAGTACCTGACCCTACCTGTGTACCCTACCCCTACTACCTGACCCTACCTGTGTACCCTACCCCTAGTACCTGACCCTACCTGTGTACCCTACCCCTACTACCTGACCCTACCTCTGTACCCTAGCCCTAGTACCTGACCCTACCTGTGTACCCTAGCCCTAGTACCTGAACCTACCCGTGGGACCCTACCCCCTAGCATCTGCACCTACCTGGATACCCTACTCCCTAGTACCTGAACCTACCTGGGTACCCTACCCCCTAGTACCTGACCCTACCCAGGTACCCGCTGTAGGTCTCAAGAGTTGGGTTCAAAGTGTATGCTTGGGTATCGTTTTCCAAAAAGTATTCAGATACATGTATAAACGATTTGGTTATGCATACAGTGAAGTTGACTAATGTGTACATCGTCAGAAAGAGTCTCATAAGTGACTTGTAATGTAACTATGGAGTTCTGGGTAACTTTTGTCATTAAATACTATATCACATGGGTCTGGGTAGTACTGTTGGTACTACTCAGGACGCACCTGAGCCAAGTACCCGAGCTACCCGTCCCAGACCTAGTACGTGCAATTTCCAAAATCATAAGATTTTAATAGGAGTCCATTGTATGATTCTGACAATATCATAAGCATGCGTTTCTGAATCACTATCAAATGAATCCATCAATGGCCATTCCAGTTGCAATATTAAGTTAAATGAAAGAAGGCCACCTCTGTTGTCCAGTGGATAGAGTGGCAATGCGTATGGTGCCCTGTTGTTACCCTGCCTGAAACATGCAAGAACTGGTCGGCTCGGAGTCGGTATTCTGTGTCTGAGTGGGGTATCCCTGTTGAACTGGCATGGTATCTAACCCACAAACGCACACGCACATGCATTAGCAACATGGACATGCACAGGCACAGTGATGGTGTTGGCAAGGTCAAGGTTACTGCTTTCAGAAGCATAAACATCATTATTCTAACCTGAAGCCACAATTTGGGACTTCCTCATCCCTTACTGTTTAAAACAGCACTTAACCCAACTCACCCATTCCATATTTGTCCCACAGGAGGCGAGTGGCACTACGTGATCTTCAGCACGGTACGCTCTCTGCCCCATTACAAGATAGAGAAGAACCCTACACTGGGCTGGAGCAAACACAACCTCGGCTTCATCACTGATGCCAACCAGGTTAACGTGGCGCTCACCAGATCTCGTAGAGGACTCATCATCATTGGTAAGGATGAAATCTCAAACTTGAAGGAATGTTTTGACATAATGAACTCAATGTCAATGAATGAATCACATACTTTGAGACAAGCAAATAGCCTATATCTTACACAATAGATATGGTTGTAGTTGTAAATAGAAAATGTAATTGCAGGTGTAGTAGTAGTTGTAGTAGATGTAGTAGTAGTTGTAGTAGATGTAGTAGATGCACAAGGTGATGTAAAGACAATGATGGGATTTCTTCATTTACAGGTAATGAGAACTTGCTGCGAAGTGACAAGATCTTCAAGAGACTGATCGAGAAGTACGAGAAACAGGGATGTCTGGTAGATGGCAGCGACTTTCCGCGGAGATACCGGCGAGATCATCAAAGACGACGACCTCCGGTTCCAGGATTGGAGTGGAAAACAGCTTAAGTGCTGCACTTGCTGAAGCAACTGAACATTCAAACAGTCCTGTTGTAAAATGAATAAGAATTCATTTCATGGCTGTGTTGTGAATCTGCTATCAATGACTGAACATTTTTGTCTTAGTGTATTCAACATTTTAGTGCTATTTGTTTTATTTCTATTACCGTTACAAACATCTGCATGCACTGTTATTGTGTTTTAAATATCTAGTGAATGTCAAGTGATTTGAATATCATCTGACAGTTTTGGGTCCAAAATGCAATTTGTAAAATATATATTTTACTTATTTTAATTTTTATTATTGTTGTGTAAATATGTACATTTGTGAGTAAACTTTGATGTATTGTAGAAGCCTGCCCCATTTGCCTATTTAGAGAACATGGTAGACACATGTATGTCAGGTATCTTGGCAACCAGAATAGAACACAAACACACACACGCACAAACACACACACACGCAGATGGGTCAATAATCTACTGGCACATTATCAGACTTGTGCTAAATATTCCCTTATTTTCTGTAGTATTCCGAAGAATGTTTCAAAGGCATGACTGATCATTTAGACTGAAATATTTACGTCAGGATCATTGATTGAGTTTTTTTTGTTAGACATGTTGAATCTTCATATGCATTTGGGGCCAATATTTGTTGTAAAATACTTCTTTATATAAATATACACATGTATGTATTCCAACTTTTTGTAAACACCATAACACCATAAAGCCTTTGTAATGAAAATGGATGTCACACCATTTATTATTTGGTTGACATGATGATGTAACTGTACATAATTTTGACATATGTTTCTTATTGTACTGGATCTTGCCATCTGTTCTCAGTGGGTACTTGTTACGACTCTTGGCGTCCTTGTAATAAGGGGTGTCACGATACAGGTTCCCCATGATACGATACGTATCTCAATACAGCAATACCGACTTTATATGAGTATATTTAGAAGCAACCTTTTTAATTACATATCACATTCACAATTATGTGTTCTAACCACTATCAGTTGATTATTTTGTAAAATAATAATACTTAGAAAAGGTTGATTCTGTTTATTCAAACAAGTGTCAGAAACTAACAAATTTTCGTATGTGTCAAATTTGGAAAATATGATGATATTTCGATTCGAATAGAAAAATCAATCGATACGCGAACAAATGGATACTGATTTCAATAAAATTTTGTATCAATATATATTTACATGTATCTCATATCGTATCGTGAGAATTATCTACCAATGCATTGGTACAATCGGTGAATCGTGACATCCCTACTTGTAATCTCCCTTGAGAAATGGTCAGCCCCTCAAGCAAGGCCACATTTTATAGTTTTCATACACTGCTATGAACAATCTTGCACAAAGATATGTATATTCCTCCAGAGCCTTTTTATAGTTTTGTACCGAAATATATTCACTATATCTTTGTAGCATCTCACTCAAAATGTAAATATATACACTGTACCAAGTGATCATCTCAATCATGACGTAAAGACATTTTGTACCGAATGAGCATCCCTCGGGGTGGTGGGGTAGCCTTGTGGTTGACTTGACATATCAAACGTGTAGGTTCTATTCCCACAAAGGTGGTTAAAGACCTGGTTTCGATTCCCCACGTGGGTACAATGTATGAAGCCCATTTCTGGTGTCCCCCGCCGTGATATTGCTGGAATATTGCAAAAACCATACTCACTCACTCACTCTTGCCACAAATATATAGAGTGTGAAGCATTCAGTGTGTCCATCACCATGTATGATAATGCTTTCACTGCAAGACAAAACTCATTCTTTGTTCTAATCCATGACAAAATGATAAAAAAAAATGTCCCTTTTTGTAAAATATCCAATGACAAAGTCTTTTCGCAGTACAGATACCATTCTTTCCTCCTGGCATCCCAATAAAAAGAATGACAAAAAAAACAATTTTGTTTGTAGGCATTGCATTATGTGTCCAGTGTGAAACCGAGATTGGGTTTCAATATGGGTAATTGCTGTGTTGCACTGGATGAGCTTGAAGATAGCAAATGTTTGTGTGACCAGATTCTAAACTACCACAACTAATTTGGAGCAAGAAACATGTCAGTGAAGCATATGTATGCCATTGTGTGTGATGTAAATGTCTTATAAGATCAACTTCTATATTTTAAAAAGTGCTGGTCTTAACATGAATTTTTATGATTATGTTTTTGTTTTACTATAATATCAACAGGCCATAACTGTGATATCGATCTTCATTGCATGTGAGCCTTATGTAGTCCAGTCTGGTAAAAGGTCTTTTACATGTGTCATACATACCGTATTTGACGTAATAAGCGCCCAGGGCGCTCTCAAAATTAGAAATAGGGGGCTCTTATAGAATATAATTTTGATGAAAAAAACCAGAGTTTAAAGATAAATTTCGTGGTTTATGCTGACAGTCTGAAATGTTTATATGCGACAGATATATGTTTCAAGAATTTGGAACACACGAATGCGTATTATACAAGAATAAATAAGTCTTGTGTACATTGATCAATCGGAAGGGGTGCTAATTTGGATTGTTCACTAGCCAATATATTAGCAAATATCGCCATGGGCGCTTATTAGAGCTGGACGCTTATTACGTCGAAAACGGTATTTAATAATATTGATACATGCAGCTGATGCACTTACATCTGTTGTGGAGGCGCTGGGGTAGGATGATGGGTCAAGCAATGCTCATATGGCCTGGGTCCGAGTTTGATTCCCATGGGTTTGAAGCTGATTCTTGGTGTCCCGTGCTGGAATTTGATTGGATTTTTGCTAAAAGCAACATAAAATAATCACTATTTCTGTAGTGCCATGTTTGTTTGTATTCTTCGGATGTGCCAATAATGTTTGTGTGCTTTGTCAACTTGCATGTCTTTCACAGTGTATTATATTAGATGTGTCTCACTGAGTTTATCATGTGCAACATGTATATGTATATATTTTCATTTATATTTTAACTATGTTGATGTTGGACCCTGAACTCTGTCCCTAAACTCAGAATCTTATGATGACATTACTTACTTTGTTAAACAAGGATTGTACGAAAACACGTGTTCTGTTCTTTTGAACGACTCTATTAAATTGCCAAAATGAGTTCCTATTAGTATGTAGAATCTTACTTCCATATCTTCATTGGGAGTATGGGAAATGTTTCAGTAGAAATTTATTTTATTGTTATTTGTTGTGTCGAATATCAATATTCCTTCAATTGTGTTTAATGTGTTGACATTGAAAATTGACTCACATCTTCATTAATGTCTAAAGAATCTTTGTATTGGGGATATTACATCAAACGACTTGCCTGCCTCTACTCAAAATATCTAAAATCTAAAATATCTAAAATATTATAAGGATGGATGCACGTGGGTTTCTTATTTGAGATATTGTTCACTTACTGTTATTAGTATTATTAACTGAATCTTTTCACTAGTTACAGTTTTACCCTCATCATATTCACTCATTGTTTTTTTTATCATTGTGATGTTGTTTAGGAACATAAACTTACTGTTATTAGTATTAAACTTATTAACCAATTTGCCATCTTTTCACTATTACATTTTAACCTTCGTCATACTCAAGTTATGCAACCATATCATAATGTAATATGACAAAAACTGTGATTTTTCGATTCTCCATTTTGTTAATCCTATCACTACTGAAAGGTATGTTTGAATCTTGTTCCTACATTAGGTAGTGTTAAATGTCTGAGGCCTGCATCACATCAGGCTTCCCTCCCACATCAAGCTGACCTGCTGTGATATAACTGGAATACTGTTCAAAGTGGCGTCAGCCCAAACTCACTCACTCTGTATCAAGCTCAGCTCCATAAAAACTAGATTCTATGTTTATTTCTTAAAAAGGAGAAGGAATTCTTCGCTAATTGTATTTCTTGTTTTATCCTGTTTCAGAATTTGCCCAAAAAATTAAATTTGATGCAAAATATTTATTCATACTTAAATCGGTCCCTCAGTTGTCATTACATGTATAACAAATCTGAATTCCTTCCATCATCAACCATGTCTGACAGGGATGTTTCATGAAAATGCATCATAGACATTGTAAACTTAAATATCTAATTGGACCAAAAATCTTTTGACATTTCAAATTATATTTCTCCAACAATAAAACATTCTCCATGTCACCCATGTGATAATGGACACGAACAATCAGAGAAGGGCTGAAGTGTTGTGAATCTTTTGTCCAGATACAGTTAATCATCCAATACATTCCATTATACACATCATGTATATCCCCTGTCATCGTCCACCGACAGCATTGTCCACGTTTGAACCCGTCCATTTATATTTTGTACAAAAGACTCATGTAGTATTGCATACATGCACATCTTCTCTGGGGATATACAGCATCATCCTCTTATATGATTAATAATTATTGTTATATGTAGATGAGGTAACAGGTTTACTTCAACTAACAAATATTTTTATTTTTTAAATTTTTTATTACTCTTTTGTTAGAGCTACATAATTATCACTGTGAAAACAATTAGCAGTTAGCAAGGCTGTGTGTGGTCACATGTAGGTGACATGGCAGCTGTTATATGAAGTGAGAATTCATCCTTGCACCTTCATATATACTAACTGGTAATAAACATTTATATATCACTACAGTCGTTGACAGTAACTTTAAGATGCAAACATCTTTTACTCTACTTTTGTTTGGAGGAACTCTACTCTTTCCACTGTTTGGTTAACAAATTTGTTATTGAATTGTTTGTGTATTTATACAAATGTATTTCCGTTTATTTTAGAGTTTTTTCCTTCATTTAGCACCTTGATGTGAATCATCTTTGCTGTAATATCAAGTAAAGAAACAACCTTTTGTGCCATGCTTTGACTACTCAGTTGTCGATGCTTTCACAGAAAAGTATTCGGTAAATCAACAGTTAATTTTATTTTATGACTTTAAAACGGTGACCTTTGAATCTTATAATTTAATGAGACGTAAATTTATATGTGTCATAATTATTCTTATATATGTTTATATATGTTTGTCAGTTTCCACAAAGGGAAATAAAGTGGTTTTTTTATCTTTATGTTGTTTCATTTCAAAACTTGGTCCAGCTATACCTCAATAACTGTGTTGTGAGTACATGCGTTTGGTTTAATACGACCTTGAACAGTATTTCAGTTAAATCGTGAGGCTGATCTGAGACGTTTGGTGAAATCCTGTAACCATGTAACTCACAGTGGGTAGACTAGACTTTAGTGGTTATGTACTAAGGTAATTAGCCTGGGTCAAAGACTTGCTCATGTTCAAATATTTAAACAGCTCTCCATGGAATCCTCACATCTTAGGCCTACTGTTCTTATAAATAAAGCGACAAAACCCTTCACATATCCACTAGAAATCGCTGCATAAAGCAGAGTCGATTGTACAATTCCGACTATATCATGAGCATGTGTTTATGAATCACTATCAGTTAGTAATGATACCATGTGTTCGCGAAGAGGTGAGCGTATCCTGTCCTACCGATGACACTCGTCACAAACACAAAAAAGGCAAATCAATTGTTCACCTGCAAAACAAAACAAAACATGGGAACACATGGTACAAGTCAAAATTGCATCGGACATCATTTTCGACACGGGCACGTGTTAACATGTACAAAGCCAAATCCCCATTCATATGAACACCCTTCATTACTTTCAAAATAGTTTGTAAAGGCGGACATGGTTACTTAAATAAGCCATCTCCTATCGACCAAATAAGGCCACATCCCTCCTCGTCCTTTCTATAGCATCACTATTTGCTATGGACGAAGTCTTTGATAGGCATTAAGAAGTTGGAAGAACATGAATACATGAAGTTTTTATGCATTCACCTGATGAAGGAGCAAGAATTAGCTTTGAAACGCCGTGACAAAGGAATTAAAGAAGTTGCCATCCATAAAAAAGGCATGTATTTACTATGGACACTCTTGTAGATGCAAATCGAGGTATAGACTCTTATAGGTGTTCACTATTAACATGTAAAAGATCAAGACAAGGCAAACCGCCATGGAAGATCTTAGAGAGATACTTACTGTATTTAACAATGGGGAGCAAGGTTACCTGTAAATTTAGTTGAATTTGGAACCGAACGCTGTTAAATCGACTTGCTGCACATTGATAATACAACATGTCACCTTCATAAAATTGAACGCGAACACCCTGGAAGATACTGTAAGAAGTGGCATGGGTTGAGTTTAGTGTTTTCAGTGGGTTTTCGGTCTTAATAAAGGAAAGACAGACTACTGACCTTTACACAGAATATTGCACTACAGTTGCTCATACATTCCGGTTGTACATAACACTACTTTACTCGCATACATACATATGTATATTACAGGCATTGAAAGTGTATAAAACGTCAAAGTCAGAGCATAACCAGTCTCTATTATCCTACAATTTAACGTCCGGTTGGTTTCATCAGACGCCCCGTGAGTTCAATATTGCAACGCAGTCAGTCAATGAACCATGGCTTTCTCAGTTGTGTACGATCGTGAGAATATGAACTGTTAATGGCGTACAAAATAAATAAACACAGCAAACAGGTTTTTTTCAAAATATGTACAAGTAACAACAATGCGGACCTGATGGTAATGATTACTTATTAAACTATTTTAGATAAATGGTAATTTATAATCAATACTTATTATTAAAGAACAGTACCATTTGTATGAACATCATCTTTCAAAAGAACATTTAACATTGATTCCCTAAACACATGGAGGGCGGTCGGGTAGCCTAGTGGTTAAAGCGTTCGCTCGTCACTCCGAAGACCCGGGTTCGATTCCCGACATGGGTAATTTATGTGAAGCCCATTTCTGGTGTCCCCCGCCGTGTTATTGCTGGAATATTGCTTAAAGCGGCGTAAAACCATACTCACTCACTCACTCACTCACTCACTAAACACTTGGAAGAAACTCAGGTCCGATATTAAACGAAGTCCTACTTAACCTGCATTAACTACCGGTATGCTCAAAGAAGGCCTTGGTGTGTATTAAACTAAAATATTATATTAATTTATCTGAGAATATATATTTTTCCAGTAGAAGAGCCCCCGTTTCTGTGCATAAATAAGATTGACTTAGCCATAAATTACAGTCTGATGTCAATAATAAAAGAACACAAATATAGATAAAAACTTTATTGTTTAGTAACATTCTCTCGGACGTTCCCGGTGACCTGGCTTTATTTCGCGGGACTGGTTGATACGGGTTACACAATAGGAGCCACGCATGTGTGGATGCTCTAATGATAACCACTACAAGATGTATATTTTATTATTTTATATTGAGGGCTGACTCATATTTTAGAAGAATATTAAAGCGGCCCTTGCTTGACCGTCGTGGTTCCTCTTCCAATTCAGTATGGTAACTCTTAAAATATCTATCCCCTTGGTGATTCCGGGTTAAAATAGTTCAAAAGGTAACCCCTAATAAGTATGCTGGTCGTTAGAGGCGACCAAATGGATCGGTTGTTTAGGCCTAGTGACATGGTCGATTCCGTGTTGACGTTGACGGCGCGGGTCGTTGTTCACAACATCGATCACAGGACTGGGTGATCCAGGCTCGATTATTTACAGATCGCCGTCAACAGCTGTAATATTTCTGAGTGAAACAACAAAAACAAACAAACTTAAACATTGCATTGCATTGTCACTATGCAATCAACATTCAAAGACGTGAGAGGGTAGCCTACCGGACATGTTTTCCCTAACACCTGGTATCATCTCTATTTGATAGTGATTCATGCAACACATGCTTATGATGTAATCTAAATCGGACAATGGACTCCGATTTCACAAGAGATATCTTACGATCATCGAAATTTTAAAAAAATGTTTTTACACAATTGTGTAATTCATGGCAATCATCAGTCGATTTGATGTGTGCCAGGATCCGGGGATCAAAGGTTCGAGTCCCCCAAAAGAATACCAAACAATTTCATATTATTTGTATTTTGCGCTTCCTGATATTAGACTAGAACTTGGACAAAATCATCATGTTTAATTGAGCTTCAGTACCTTTGATATTTCCTTTTCATTCCTTTTGACTGGGGTGCTACAATTCGCTGTGCACAGTGCTGGGCAGAAACCTAAGATCGTGTGTTCCAATTCCTTTTGGCAGCCATTTTCTCGATTTGTCAACACTATACCAGTGTTCGGTTCCACAAAAGGGGTTAACGTGCATTCGGACTTTCCTCCCACATCAAGCTGACACGCCGTGAAATAACTAGAATACTGTTTACTGGCCACGGTATCAAGGTCTGTGTTTGTACAGGGAAATCTGGGATACTAGTATGTAAGCATGTGTATTAATAAATGACTATGATAGAAGCATTACACCCGTGAAGATCCCGGGTTAGAATAGATTTTCAGCAACCCATGCTTGCAATAAAAGGCGACTATGCTTGTCGTAATCGGCGACTAACGGGATCGGCTCGTCAGGCTCGCTGACTGGGTTTAATGCATGTCATCGTATCCCTATTGCGTGGACCAATGCTTATGACATCAATCACTGGATTGTCTGGCCCAGACTCGATTATTTACTTTACAGACAGCCGTCATAAAGCTGGAATATTGCTGATTGCGGCGTTAAAGAAACAAACAAACAAACATACATACATACATTCATACATACACACGCACGCACGCACGCACGCACGCACGCACACACACACACACACACACACACACACACACACGTACGTACGTACGTACATACATACATACAAACAAACAAAAACAAACAAACAAAAACAAACAAACAAATGATAGAAGTATTAACCAAACATTAAAATCTGCAATCCTTGGATTCGAGCCTTCTGCAGACTGGACCCCTGCATGACTGGCGCACCCTACATTCCCAATACACTGCAAGCTGCCGTGTATTATCTGACTGTTAAAAACTTGTCGTGTTGTGAAGGGTGTTGTGTTGACAAAAGAATGATAAATAGATTTGTCATTCAACTCTCAGTCAATTATAGTTGTTCAAGGAATAGCTTCAGCTGCCAGTACCAGGAAAGCTAAAAATATCACTTACGGTGATTATATAATCAATATGTTCACCCCTAACGTCATGGCTGTTTACAAACACATGTCATGCAGAGACGGTTGACAATGTGAACCCTCAGATAAGAGCGTGGGGCTTTTGTTAAAGGGGCTTTCTCCACGCTATGTTCATATTGGCCTAAACGTAAATTTGTGCCTTGTATGAAACGAAGATATTGTGATTAGATTAGATTTGTTTACATAATAATTTTAGAATTTGCAGAGAAACAAACCAGTGAAAGTAATACTATCAACTATTACCGTAGGTGTTCATGCAGCAACTGTGACGACATAGCGTTCGTGTTGAATAGTGAGCCATTGGTATAACAGTATGTGAGTGAGTATGGTTTTACGCCGCTTTTAGCAATATTCCAGCAACATCACGGCGGGGGACACCAGAAATGGGCTTCACACATTGTACCCATGTAGAGAAGCGTACCCGAGTCTTCGGCGTGACGTGCGAACGCTTTAGCCACTAGGCCACCCGACCGCCTCTATGACAGTATGTTAGCGTAAAGATACTTATGACCTATTATCAATTTGATTGACAGAAATAGGAAGATAATAACTTTTGACGCCTGTGTTCAGTCCAAGGTGTGGATAGCTACATGTGCATGTACCACACTTTCCCGACAATATATAGTCACGATCCAAAATAACTTGTGAGATATTGTGCATACACACCTATATAAATGCATGACTATTTCTAGAAATAATCTATTAAGGCCTACACAATAGGGGATGGGACGGAAACTGGCGCTGGCTACTGAATAAAATCAACTTTTAAGTTGAGCCTGGAAAATGGGTAAGTATTTTTCTAACTGAATATATGATCTGCCCAATACATCTTTAAGTCCCCCTACATCCACTGTTATGTATAAATCCTCTTACATCCACTGTTATGTGTCAATCCTCTTACATCCATTGTTATGTGTCAATCCTCTTACATCCACTGTTATGTGTCCATCCTCTTACATCCACTGTTATGTATCAAT